CTGGCCCACGTTCTGCTGACAAGGTTCTGAATGATTATTCAAGCAATTATTATAGAAACATGTATAAACCCATATATATGGTGAAAAGAACGTGGAAACTGGCCCACGTTCTGCTGACAGTACTTCGTAGATGGGATCATAAGTTTCATGGTGCCCGGTATATTATTGTACTTAATTAAGTAATGAAATATGAATATCCTGATTGTGAGTGTATCCACTTGCTGTAGAGCTTTATGATGCCTGAAAAGGTTGTTTTATGTTTTGATTGTTTTGGAGAAAATAGAAATCATCTTAGAAGATAATTATTTTCTTTTATAGGCGATATTATGTCTAATTATTGTTTGTAAACACTTTCAGAGACCAAGTGCTAAGGAACTCCTCCGACATCGTTTTATTAGAACTGCCAGAAAAAGTCCTAGGCTTCTGGAGAGAATTAGGTCAGAACTTCTGCATTATGTGTTACCACTTAGTTCCTGATTCATGATGCGTATGAGGTTCTGAGCTTTCTACTTGTATGCTTTCCTTTACTCATATACTTACACATCACAGAGAGCGTCCAAAAGTCTACATAAAAGAAGACATGGAAAATGATGAAAATAATCCTGGATCACTTGGGGGTACAGGAACCGTCAGAGCAGTGAGAGATGCTCCTGGTTCACTTAATGAGGGGTCTGGAACCATCAGAGCAGCGAGAGATGGTCCTGGGTCACTTAATGAGGGGTCTGGCACCATTAGAGCAGCTAGGTACAATGCTAGATTGTATTTCAGAACATTAACTACTCATCATTTTCCCCCACTGATCCACTTTGTTTTAACATATTAGAGGAATAACTCCTAGGAACGCTGCTTGGGATTCAAATATTGACGCCGCACAGGGTACAGGAACCATTCGCAGTACAGGAACCATTCGCAGTGCCGTGAAGCCGCCTCAAGTTGCTCCTGCTAGAGACAAAAAGTCGGATTCTACATATGGGTCTAATCTGACAAGAAAATTCATAGACAGAGATAATCATTTGATGCCTCCCTCAGTTAGTGCATTGGATGAATCAGCTTTAGGGAGTATATTACAGAGAGATGCACAAAGTGAGCTTGACAGTAAAAGACTGGACAATTCTGCAGATGATGTAGGTGTCCCTTTTTTGTGTTTTCATAGCTTTTTAGATTTTTATTTTACTTAACAGACATGCTCAATTCTAGGATAATCAATTAGTGAGCGGATCTGGAACTGTTGTTTTACGATCTCCTAGAGAACCTCAGGTGCATACAGCATTTAGCAATCAAAGTGGCAAGGTATAACTTTATTTTGAGAGACCGTCAATTTTTTGTGTTAAGATTTAAACTAACACTCACTTTACTTCTTATTAGTCTACCAGCAGATTTACTTCTTCTGAAGATATTGGTGGGACGGTTGTTCTTCGCAACCAACATGATGAATCTGATACTGCACGAACTTTAAAGTCAAGACTAGGGATCCAAGAAAAAACATCAAGTGCCTCACTTGAAGATAGTGCAACAAACCTTGCTGAGGTTCTCTCTCTATCTCTTATGTTTCGTGTGCATGTGCATGCACACCTTTACTGATGTAGATGTGTAGTGGGGTGTATGCATTTTATGCACATGTTTGTCTGCTTGTGCTCTTTTCTTTTTCAGTATGCTACATTCAAGTAACGTATTGGTTAAATACTTTCAGGCTAGGGCTGCACTGCAAGCGGGGCAAAGAAAGGGAAATTCTCGGGAAAGGCAACCGGGAAAATATAGTAAAGAATTGGGGGAAAACAAAGTAGCAGAAAGAACAAGTAATAAGTCCTCGAGGTACTGTTAATGGGATGCAAATGGTAGTCCTCTTCTCATTCAAGAGAAAGTGATATATTCTCTTTTTTGCTTTGGGGTGGCTTACTTCTTCCAATAATCTTTTTCTTGTTCACCCTAGAGATTCTATGGAGGGCTTTGATGCACATAAACCAGTTCAGAGATCACGCCAGTCAAGTGATAGTGAAGGAAGTACCCGATCTCCTGCAGTGGCGTCCTCACCTGTGTTATCTTTGATGATCATTCCGTCATTAAAAGAGGTGAAGAAATGTGCCATATAATGTAATTACACGCGCATGAGGAAAAATGTGTTGCCCTAGCCCGTTTTAATGCTTAAGTTAACTAGTAAAAGTTAGAAAACATCGCTACGTTCTTGATTTTTTTTTAAAATATTGACCCTATATTTGATAAATGCCACTTTTACCTAGTGTCTCTTCTCCTCTTCCTGTTTCTCTCCCTTCTCCAACAGAACCCCACTCTCTTCGCTTCTCTCCCATCTGCCCATTCTTCCTCCTGGCTTTGTCAAATAGATATATTTGAAGTAAAAAAGTAGAAAGATTTACTGAAATGTAGACAAATGAGTAAAAGGTAGATAATTCACAGTAAGATAAACATTAAAGGTAAAGAAGAGATAAACCAAACAACCAACCAAAAAAAACCACAGCCCAAAAAAAAATAAAGAACATGCGCGCACGCACACGAACAAAGGTAGTTATGTACCTAAGGACGTGCTGATACCCAGGTTCCTTCCATGTCATGCAGGCTGCTGGGGATAGAACTGAAGGACCAGGAGCTCGTTCTGTGATCGATGCACTAGTTGAGTTGGAGCAACATTGTCCTGGCTCTTGTGAAGCTTTTGTTGGGAGGTTGCTCCATCGGCTT